GTAGTCATGTTACAATAATCTTTAGGGTATTTATTTTTGCAACATTTATTTGCCTCCATACATACATTTTTAGGATTAAGGTTTCTACAAGAACCATGCATATTATATTTAACAATAATAGAATGAAGATGGGGGTATATATTTTCGTCGGGAATTTCAGAGCATACTATAATATCAACCTGTTCAACACAATAAATTTTATGGCTAGATTTGAAAATCAATAATAGATGCACATGAGAGAGCCCTCGTTTTTTAAATTCAATCATATATATATATATATATATATATATGCAACAACAGGGTCTAAGATGTTTTTCTTGTATAAATCATTTTTTAACTTCTAATTTTGCTCAAAATATACGTGTAATTAGATCTGGTCAATTTTGAACTTCATCATTATGCTTTAGTTCTTGCTTAATCTCTAGCCAATTTGAATTATATGTCATAGTAAAAAAGATGTATGGTTTTCCATAATGCTGCACAATAAACATCTCTTCTATCTATCTTTTTAGCAAGTCTTTAGGCCACATGTAAAGGATTGTGGTAGGACAATTTTTTTTTCCAATTTTGTATCCTCTCGTTTCTTCATTTTCAAACCTATCTACAATATCTTGATATAGTTCAGCACGAATTTATTTTTGGTTATTACGAAAATAGTCTAACCTAACAATTTCAATCTTAATATACATATCCACAATAGACTGTCGAAAAAATCTACCAATGTGAAGCAATAAAGACTTATCAGATGGCCTAAACTGGAATTTGTATTAATAGTATCCTCTGCAAGAGACCTGAGACTATTTCTTCGTTCCATTAAGCACTGCATGACGAAAAATGTCAAAATTATATATTCATTTATTAATTTACATTGTAGAAAGTGGAACTATAAAGAAAATATATACATAAACCTTCATCATCTTTTTCAATAATTTTAGATACGAAAGTTACTATGCTAGGAAAACCATCTAAGTCAGATAGATGTTGAGACTGAAGATATTTGTTGTTGCATCTCTTAATGCTTTCATGCCAACCAAATTAGCCATATGGAAAAAGCAAATGATATTGTAAAGAATCATAACAACCATATTAGTAATGAACCTTATGTGAATCACCAGAATGGCTGTAAATAGTAATGTCTCGAGTATGAACATTTGCACTTTCATTATCTTCAACCCATACTACAGCAACTTGAGACGTTGTAGGAGTATTGAAAACTCTTTGATCAAGTCCCGGATCGCATCTTATTTGTAATCGATGATCGTGCAAATTCGTCATATTACTTAAAGACCTAAAGAATCTAGTAAACGGATTTATTTTAAGGATTTCAATTAAACTAATCAAAGTAGATTAAACAAAATTCTACGAAATTTTGATATGATTCTCAACTTTGTTATCTGTGTCATAAAAATATAACTGCATATAAAAAGGCGTATTATTTTCTGGCATAAGTGAATTTACGTAATGATATACTTGACCTTGAATCCTTAATGTGTAGATACATCTGTATGATTTAAATAGTTCTTTGTCATACTTTACCCCAGATGAAGTGAATGCAAAATGATTATTATATCCCTTGACAATTTTTTTGAATTCCATACATGTAGGTTCTTTAGAAGTAAATAAATTGTACAGTTCAGTTGGCGGATCAGACACAGAAAGTTTAACTTTTCCATCAAAACAATAGAAACCTTTACTTTCTCTATAGAAATTTTTGGCACCACAATCTTTACAATGTGTGCATGTCAGTAATACATATGCAATACATGGTACATTTAATTGGGTATAACTCTTCTGGAAATTAGTAGCGCATGTGTTCAATGCTACATTTTTGGAAGTGGAAGGCTAAGAATGATGGTATGTTGTAGGTTCTGTACATAGACAATATGAGAATTATTACTTGTAGATAACATAGGTTGAATTACTCTTTTACGATGATTAATGAATTCAATTTCAGCTTGATGTCGTCGATCTCTTCATCTTTGATTTCGTTGTTGACGAATTAATGCATCATGTGACTGACTTGTACTTTTAGAAGTAGTTTGAGCGTCACACAAATGGGACTCTTGATGAGCACGTGGTTCCATTATGTCAATCAATAAAGGAAGAAAATTATCAAGTAGTTGAGTGGAAAGTAAGCAACAACAACTACAAGAAGAAAAAGAAAAAGAAAAAATATTACCATAAAAGGAAAATTACGAACTCGACAATTTCGAGACTAAAGGTATAATAGCCTTCATAATTAGTAATACAAATGTAATAACCACAAACAGTTTCAAAATGCAATGTGAGTTTGCCTTCTCTTTACACTAACAAATCAAATCTTACCCAATAAATTTTTGGTCGACTAAATAAATTATTTCTCTAAAAAAAGAAACAAAATAAAGTTCAATGACCGATGTCAAAATTCACCATAAATTTATATATAGAGATATAAAAAATTTCCTAAGGAGCATTGGTGACCTAGCAAATCAATTAATTGGTCAACCTTTTAATTCATGGACTTACCAAAAGTTTAATGTTTTCGAGATTTAAACCAAAATAATATTAAGAAGAAACTTATTTATGTCCACATTCTACAGATAAAGTTAGGTTAGGTAAAATCTAATATGTTCCAAACCAGAGTTTAGTCTAAAAATATTTGCGAAAATTAGCAACTATTTTGTAGTGAATAGAAGCCGGATTGCCTAAACTTGAACTAAAGATAGAAAAACAAAATATTAACTTATCAACACGACAAGAAGCACCTACAGAAATTCCAGTAATTTAGTGCTAAATTCAAATCTACTTAGAATCAATACATGAACCTCAAACATAGATTCAATGTAAATCACAAACCAATCAAAATTTCCTCTTTAGAAAACTTGCTAACATATAAGCCTCGTGAAATTCACCATAAAAAAGAAGCAAAAAAATAAAATCAATTTATCAAGAAAGAACTAAAAAAATCTAGCATTGTGAAATCAATAATCCATTTGAAATTCAAAAAAAATAACAATAACAAAGATCATACAATTTTAATAACATAATGCATAAGTTAAATTGAAAAATTATATACCTCTGTTTAACGTATAAGCCTCGCGAAAATACACCATAAAAGAGAAGCAAAAGATAAAGTCAATTTATTAAGAAAGAACTAAAAAATCTAGCACTGTGAACTCAATAATCCATTTGAAATTTAAAAAAAAAAAAATAAATAACAAAGATAGACAATTTTAATCAAAGAAAGCATAAATTAAATTAGAAAATTATATACCTCTCTCAGTTAATATTAACACACAACCTATCAATTTCACGAACTTAAAATTAGAAATGCACACATAAAAAGATGAAGAAATCACAGTTAAATGCAAAAAAACCCGTTGGAAATCACAAGAAGATGAAGAAAACTGATGCAATCGTAGAATGAAGAAATTGTGGTGTAGTCGTCTCTTTCTTCATTTTTACTATCTCAAGAAAGAAAATGGGAAAAGCAAAGAAATTGAAGAAAGTAAAAGAAAATGAGAAAGCAAAAAAGAACGTAATTTTTCCACCACACACGTTACTGACCACATTAAAGCAACCCACTTCCTTACACACAGTGGGCCCACACATGTTGAAAAATTGAAAGTAATTACCTGTGTGATATGAAAGCTTTCTAACATGATTTAATTGAAAAATTGGGGACACAATATGCCCTTTCTGTAATAATTAATTTGCCACATAGGTAAATTTTCGAGTTCGAAGAATGTGGAACTCTACTAACTAGTAATAGCTTATAAATGCTTGAAATTGAAGTTAAAATTTTGAATGCAGGTGTCAAACAAATTGGAGGAGACATGTTTGAGAGCATTCCTGAAGGAGATGCCATTTTCATGAAAGTAAGTTGAAAAATTCCATATATTGCTGACTAAATTGGTGTTTGAGGATGATATAATGATATAATGTTGTTTCTGTAAGTATAATAGCATTACATGCCCGTGTCCGAAAATTGTCGTGTCATGTCGGACCATGACTCTCCAAAATCCAACAAGCCATGTGTCGCGCCACATTTTTCTATTTTTAAAATTTTTGCCGGTGCATCTTAGGATTTCAAGTATTCATCTCTCCAAATACTTATCTTACTGTTTAGGTCAAAATAAAAGCTAGAATATTTGTGAAGAAGAAAACAATCCAAACTATATGTAGATTTTTTTTCTCATAATTTTTATTGACAATATGATGCGCAGATTGTTTATTAGTCTTGAAGATATTTTTATCTAAATTAGGTAACCATTCTTGACAGTGGATACTTCATGATTGGAATGATGACCACTGTTTGAAGTTGCTTATGAACTGTTATAAAGCTATACCTGAAGATGGAAAGGTGATTGTTGTTGAGAAAATTCTCTCAGTCGAACCTGACACTAGTAACACCGTGATTAGTAAGAGCCAATCCGATCTAATTTTGATGACTCAATATCCGGGGGGGCAAAGAGCGATCAGAAGTCGAGTTTCTTGCATTGGCAAAGGGAGCTGGCTTTAGAGGCATAAGGTCAAACTGTTCCGTGTGCAACTTTTGGGTCATGGAATTCCATAAGTAAACTGCTGGAGTAGAATGTGGCGTGTGTTTCCTGTTCAAGAACTTCAATTTTCATCTTGTTATACCGGTTTAAGTACTTTGCAGCTGTGGATTTAAATAATATATTTCAAGTTTGTTGTAATGAAACATAACAAACTTTCAAGGTTGTTATGTTGTGTGGTAAGCAATTTTTTTACCATATTTTTACAAGACTTTTGGAAAGCCAAAATTTGATAAATTTCCAGCACTAATTACACATCCGAGATCGCTGCTTTTGAATTTTTTTATATAATTTTCTAAAAGTGCTTATTTTGGTTAGAGGATCATTTAAAGAAAGCTAACTCAATGTGGCTTGTTCATGAAACTCATACAAAAGTAGAAGCAGAAGGTAAAACTATCCCAAACATGCCCTTTATACTCTCTGAAGAGTAGTAGAGTACGTACATCTCAACACAAAAACAAATGCAAAATAATTTCCTCTTGTTTGGCACGTTGTAATCACTTAAACTGCTTCTCGTTCACAAAGATGGGTGAAATAAAAATGGGTACAGCTACAGAACAGTAGTGTAAAAGGAAACATAAGATTATTTAATATATGTTCATTGTTTATAGATTAAGTTAACAAAAAGAAGAGCGATTACTGTTGATGTGCAATGCTGCCATTTATATTGTTTCTTGCTCGAACTGCAGCATTTTCACACAAATTTCCTTTCAGCTGGTTCCTATAATTTCCTTATATGTGTCTTTGATTTTCTTTACCAAGACTTCCCTGAAATTCGCGAGAGCAACCTCTACCTTTTAGCGTCAAACTATATTGAATTACACGAGATTTCGTATAACAGAAGGATTACCTGTCTGGTTTGAAAACCAGGTTCTTGTATGCAAACCACTGTTACAAGTAAAAAGAATACAGAAGATCCATAAGTTGAACTCTTCAGTTAAGAAAAATTCTAATTACTTGTACATGTTCAGATATTTTTTTGGGTTTGTTTCATATTTTATCTGTCTTCGGCCAAGTAAAACAGATGAATATTTTACAAGACTCGGATTGATTAACAAATATTTGGTATTACCAGTAAGTCAGGTACAAAATTCTTTTGCAAATGTCTGAGTTAAAAGTGTCACAATAAAGTAAACTTACAGCAGTATATCCAATTCCCACTAACTCAAGAACACCAGGTACCAGTGGGAGCCTGTCAATTGCCTGTCACAAGGGCAAACCCAAGTTTAACAAGTTTTAAGGCTTTCCTTTGCAAAATAAAGACATTCTTTCAATCTTTGCACTGACATCCTCATATGAACGTTTAGGTGTGCAAACATAGCCACTGATTTTGCACCTAAATGTTGATACGAGGATGAAACTGGGCAATGTTATGGTTCTTACTGAGATCATTCCAGAACAGGCGAACACGGCAACTCCTCCGGCCACTGCCAGAGAAGTCACTGCATACTTGTCTTCGACTTTGTCCCACTTCATAAATTAAGAATTTACACCATCGGTCACTACACTTGAGCAGTAAAGAAAAAAGGTTAATAATGAGACTACGAATACACAAATTCTTACAGATTCTTGAATTGTTTTAACAATCTCTGGAAGCTCAACGGTTGCGACAACTTCAGCTGGTGCCTCCCCAGTTGCCATTGCCATAACATTCCGTGCAATCTTTCGACCTGACAAGTTCACGAGGATCATAACTTTGATGTATATATAACAAATCTGACTATTCTTTGAAGATATCTTACAGTAGGCAGTGGTCCTGGCAGCACGACTATGTGACTGCACGGGTGGTGGTGGAAGGGTCGGCAATGCGACCCATTGCGAGGATGCGGCCGCAGATTGGCGAGTAGGTGCCTTGGTGTCAATGAGGGTGGAAGAAGAAGAAGAAGATAGAGAGAGTGGGGTGGATGTTGATGAGGCCATAGGTCCTGAACCACCCCCTTGAAATTCAGTTGAGTTTTGCTCTCACACAGAAGAAGAAATGTTAGGGGAATAAGAAGGGAAGGTTTTCTCTGTTATTTCTGATCCCTTTTGGTTGTTACTATTGGAAATTATTGTTGATATTTTCTAAATGGAATTGAATTCTGGACCTCCCAAGATTGAGGCTGGATAACCACTCATTCATATAATCTGGATAGTGTGTGTGGTGACATGGCACTTGGATAGCCATTTTGTGGTGTTTCATTGGATATACTGCTCCAGGTCCAAAAATAATACTAACTGTACAGAAATATAAATAAACAGGCACAACAATGAATCTAAGTTATAACTGGGGTTGATTTCCCAGGAAAGGTTTCAACAAAGGAATGGTAAATAAGCACGTTAACGCTAACTATGGCACAAACCGAACAAATTCCTTCAAAAATTTAGTAACACAGCAACCAACTTCATCCAAGAATGGTATGCCAACAACCGTGAATTGAAACACTCGCCGAACTCTGGGGAAATTGTTTCTTTGCTACAATTTCTACATATGTAAAATAGAACCAACTACCATCTCAAGTTTCAGTAGCTGAGCTGTCACCTGGTTTGTTTCAAGTATATGTATTCATCATCGTCAACAATTATGTTTCAACATCACCAATTACAATTAAGTACTGGAGTGAACAAACAATGACAAAGAGAACGTCTCTTCTCAGACGATGAATTGACGAAACTATAATCCTGTCATCCACATCTCTGTAGATCAGTGCCTCTATGGGTCCCCGCAACAGATGTTTGTCTTAGGATGATAGCGTCTAAATTTGAAACAAAGTACTGCAGCTATGAAATGCACTTAAATTCCAAAGCTTAAGCCTTAAGAGTATCCTTAGCAGTATGACATAGACAAGTTTGCATTCAAAGACCTTTCACTTATATCTGAAGCATAATGTCAAATCTAGACTAAAGAATTCGAAATTATGGTATTCAAAATTGTATGATAAAACCGTCATGAAGAGAACATGATATTAGTGTCTGGGTTTGCCTTTCCAAACATTATCCAATTCACAAAAATGTTAAAAGCCTTAAAACAATATAGATATCAAAATTGAAATTTGGAATGCCTTGACAGTAAGACATCAGATAAGAAATAACACAGTGTGTGTATATATATAAGTAAGCTTGTCCTTGCCATCAGTAACCACTACCAAATGCAATAATGAATTTACTTTACACCTGAAAGCCATCTTGTGCACAAAGTTTCCTAGCCAAAGAAGAGGTTAGACTTGAGCAGTGCCTTCGGTAAATTTAGGATCCTCACATCTGTACTTGCCATCAGGTCCAATTCCAAATCCCCTAGGATCTGCAAATACGTTTTCCAGAAGCTGACTACGAGCTGGAACAGGGCTTTCATCAGCAAACTCAACGGCATCTTCAACCACCTCCTCAATCTTCTTCTCTATGGCAATCAATTCTGATTCACTTGCCAAACTGTTTTCCAACAGGTACTTCTTTAATGCAGTAATTGGATCTCGGGTAGCATAGTGAGCCTTCTCAGCTGCCAAAATATGACCATATATAACTTCTGGATTAACTCAATTTGCTTGAAAAATGCACGTGGAGTAAATGCTTGGCAATAAAAGTAGCGTCCAAGTCAATGTCACGTAGTAACATACTTCAGATATAAACACAAGCATAGGAAACCATAATTGCCAAACTTCCAACATCTATTACATGTCCAATGGCTTCAATTTGGTGATAAATGTATTGTAACTTGCTGCGATATGAGGAGGAAGAAAAACAGGATTCAAGACATCCAATGCAACTACCAATCATTGAGGAGCATGATGACGATTGATGACATTACTTGAATATTCGGAAATTATAGGTTCAAACCATTAGGTTGCATTAGCTTCCCAGAGTATTTTAAAAGACATAACAACTCACCATCAACACAAATGATGGAATGACAGCAGGATCTCAAATGAGTGTTTTTGAAGATGCCGAATATAGGAAACAGAAAAAAAAATGCTTCTCAAACCATTAGCGAGACAAATAACTGGAACAAGATAATGAATTGTGAAAAAGTTACATGGAACAAGCTCATTACGTGCAATTCAACATTCGACTAAATCATGAATTACATTGTTATGAATCCCATTGTTACTCCAAATATAATGCTCACGCAGCATAGTTTGGCAAAAGAGCTAGATTTGAATAAGATCAAGTTTCTACACAGTACAGTAAGCTTAGATGTATTATTTAAGTCATCTTCTTCCAGAGTCTAGCAGAAAATGATTTCTTTCATGCTAAAATATCATCCACACAAATAAACATGAACACTTTCTGAAACAAGATATTGGAAGTGGCTAGAATAACAATTTTACTCTGGTCAATATTATGATCATAGAGTGGTCATTTTATGCAAGATGGTCAATCTTCCAACTAACCCTGGATAAGAAGGCTATGGATCAATACAATTGTTATATTCAGTGAGCAAATTGGGAAAAAAGTAAAAATAAAACACCATTCTAAACTAGATTTTGCCAAATTATAGAGATGGTCAGGTAATAATGTACTTCAGATTTGAATAAAATATATAGAAGAACGAAAAGAATAAAAGTAATATTGAATACTTACCAGGGTCACGGAGCTCATCTGGATCAGCCAAAGAATGTCCTCTGAACCTGTAGGTCTCACATTCGACCAAAGTTGGACCTTCACCTCTTCTAGCTCTGGTAATAGCTTCCTTTGCGACCTCCCTTACCTTCAACACATCCATACCATCAACATGAACCCCAGGCATTCCAAATGCTGGACCCTTTTTCCAAATTTGGGGATCAGAAGTGGCTCTCAAATGGGACATTCCAATTGCCCACAAATTGTTCTCGACAATGAACACGATGGGCAGCTTCCACAGTGCAGCCATGTTCAAGCACTCGTAGAACTGACCATTGTTACAAGTTCCATCTCCGAAAAATGCCAACGTCACATCATCACAATCCTCCTTCATAACCTCCCTCCTGTACTTGCTAGTGAAGGCAGCTCCTGTAGCCACAGGAATTCCTTCACCAATGAAAGCAAAGCCCCCAAGTACATTGTGCTCTTTGGAGAACATGTGCATTGAGCCACCCTGCCCTCTACAGCAACCGGTGGTCTTGCCAAAGAGCTCGCTCATTACGGCTCGAGCTGGGACCCCTTTGCTCAATGCATGGACATGGTCCCTATAAGTGCTAACCACACAATCTCTGTTCCCCAAGAGCTTGATGAAGCCAGTTGATACAGCTTCTTGGCCATTGTACAAATGAACAAATCCGAACATTTTGCCTCTGTAATACATCTGGGCACACATGTCCTCAAATGATCTTCCTAGAACCATATCCTCATACAATAGCAAACCCTCCTCCTTTGTAACCAACTGCACGCAAACAACCTCATTACTAAAAATCAATAAAATTCAAAACCCATTTTAGTTTTTTCCTTAACAAAATACACTCAACCATTAATTGTAACCAGCTGCAGATAGACACGGACAATTGCAAAACACTACACTATTGAATATTTAACACCCGTTATTTTTTCCCCCTCTAAACTACAAGAGCACAAACGCATGCTATCATCATAAATAGCAAACCACAAGCAGTCTACTGCCCAAGTGTAAATAATATGTTATGATGCAATTATTCATACCCTATTCAATTTCATAAAATTATAAAAAGATGGGAATTTGAATACCAGATTGGAGATGGGATTAGATTCCACCTTCTTCTTCTTGATGACATCAGAGGAGACAGCAACAACAGTGGCTGATCGGCGACTGAAAGGCGAAATAGTTTTGCTAATGGAAAATAGTTTCTTGTTGGATCCAAGAAAAGCGGAGGGTCTTAGTAATTTAGTACAAGTATCAGACTTATCAGGAGATCTGGTGGAGTTGATGGACATAGGAGGTTGGACGATTTTAGCAGTTGCAGAACAAGCCATTTTGGTTCAAGAAACTTATGGGTTGTTTTTGTTTGCAAAGAATGAGAAGAGAATTTAGGTTCCAGTGTGAATTTGTTAGAAGAAGAAAAAGATGAAGCAAATAAAGAGCTTTGATAGAGAGAAGAAATAGGGGCGGAGAAAACGAGTGTGTTTTGAAATAACCGTCAAAATCGTTGATTACATGGATTGATTGTCATATCATATGTGTGTATTTATTAGTATATCACTCTCTGAGTATTTTTTTTTTTTAATCACTATCTAATTAAAATGTATATTAAATATTTATTATTTAATTGAGATTCAAATATATAGGAGAAGTTTTCCCGAAGAATTCACTCCAAGAACTTTGGGGCAAATCACTTCGATCAATGGACCCATCTTTTGAGCAGTGCTATACGTCTAGGCCACATGTGTCCTGAAAAGATTAGGGCCCAATAGAACCGCCACCTATAAGGGAGAGTCAAATGACGCCCTTGTCCATACTCCGTCCAGGATCCATGTGATCCCGAACAACAAGTCTTTTCCATTTTTTTGCACTATGTAAAATTGAAATTATTATCCTTAGGCATTTTTGTGTCTTACGGTTTTTTGAAAGCCAAAATTGAAAAGGTAATTTGGGCTTAGGACATCTTAACGACGCGTTATAAAATATTTCATTTGAAATTTTCCATTTCTTTTTTTTGAGTTCCTTAAAAATGGGTCTAAAAGCAAGAGGGTTGTTTTCTGGAAGAACCAAAAGGAAGTTCAGTTTCCATTTCCAAAATTGTTAAAAAACAAAAATCATCTTCTTCTTTTTTTTTTTCCCATTATTAGATCTTTATGAGAGAATCAAAGTTTAAATCAGTGCCAAAATTTGACAAAAAGCAAATAAAATTTTTATCTGACTACCATCTGTCAACCAATTTTGTGAAAATTTTGTCGTGGAGCTTTTCCATTATTTGTGTTTCATGAATAGTTTTCTTTGCTCCATACGTTTTGTCAAATTTATAAAAATGGTGCCTATGAATATTTTTTCCTTGGAATATGTGAGGTGATGATGTAGAAAAAATGCTTTTAAGCTTAACCAAAAATGGTGTGATTGGGCTTATCCCTTTTTCTTTTAATACTTCAAAGGATAACAACTTTAATATAATTGTGATTTGTTCAACACAGTTTTTATCGTGTACTAAAGTAGAAATAAAAGGTCCGTTTCCTTTGAAAATTTGCCAGCAAGTAGTGTGTGCTGTGTGGATAATGAGTGATCTGTCGGCAACAGATGATTTTGTTCATTATAAAATATATTTTCATTTCTTAACAGTGAAGGGTCCATAGCTCAGTGGTAGAGCATTTGACTGCAGATCAAGAGGTCACCGGTTCGAACCCGGTTGGGCCCTTTTTCCTTTATCTTTCATCCATTAGATTTTTGTTGGGAATTTACAGAAAGTAGTCCCTAACCTTTTCTGTCAGTGTGAATATGGTCCCTAACGTTTGTTTCTCAGCAAAAAGGTCCCTAACATATATGTTTAGGAACACAATAGATCTTTCTGTGCGAAGACCAATACACCCTTAATTTTAATCAAGGGAAATAGCAATTGGGTCCCTAATATTTGCAAAAGGTGCAAATGGTTCAACAGGTTTTTTTTTCTCTGTCGTAAAAAATTTAAAAGACACTAATGAATTCTTTTTCCTTTTTTTTTTTAATTAAAACTTTATTAACGAAATTCAATACATACATAAATTGTTTTCTACATGAAAGTTGGTCTACGTTGGTTACATATGGCAATGTATATTAATTAGAGAATTTTCTTTTCAATTAAATACTCCACTGAACAAAGATCCTAATATCCTAGCTATCCCTTAAACTTGTGTCACGAACTTCATCCTCAAATATTTTTATTTAATTGAGTTATTTGTTCATTAAATGCAAAAATTAGAGCTCCAATTATAGTTTTCATATATTAATTTGTCGTTTTATTATTGTTCAATAAAAAAAATAAAGAACACACGAGTGGTTTTTTTTTTTTTTAATATCATGTACGTTGAAAATACAAAAATATTGGATGTCATATAGATATTTTATTATTTATTATAATTTTCATTCAAGGTTTTCACATCCCAGAACAATTACGTACTTAAAGCACGATAATTAAGTTTTTTTCCCTTCTAAATAATTAAATTGACTCAACCAAATGAATATTTAGTACGCTTATTTATGTATTATATTATTAAATAAAGGTATTGGACCTGTTTGTACTTTTTTCAAAGGTTAGAGGACCTAATTGCAATTTTCCCTAACTGAAATTAAGGGCATCTAGGTCTTTCACAAAACAAAATGACCAATTGAGGACCAAACACACAGTCTAAAACGTTTCACTTTCAAAGGTAAAGGATATAAACAACCCCAAATTAATTATTAAACACAAAAAGGGTAAAATCTTCATCAGAAAATTTCACTGAATTCATATGATTTCTATACCAAGCCTTAACATCGAATTATCAAATACATTCCAACACTATACTCTCAAATAGATACAAGGCAACTTATGTACATGGCATTAAACTAACTAATGGCATTTAGGATAATGCCGAACCGCCAGGAATAAAATGACAAAAAGGCTGGCCTTCTCTCCCAGCTGCTGTGGGTCCCGCTGTGAATAAAAAATGCCGACTCCTGTAGTCGTGTCTCTTCTATTAAATTGCATGTCAACCATTATGTTGCTAAAGCACAGTGATGCAGATAGTTCAAGTGCAGATGCCGGAACAGAAGACGTGGGAAGAGAAAACCTGAATTCTGTAAACTTGCATGGCCGACAATGTGGGGGACAACCAACAATGGGATTGGATTCATTTGAATTTGCTTTTTCGGTGATTATCATTTGTTTTTTTTAGATATTATCTATTTGTTTTGTGTTGGGCTGTGATGCCATTTGATAAAGTCCAACAATTAGGCAATGATGAAAAGGCCCAAAATATGGATTCAATACTTGGTCCATTAATTATATACCTAGAAGGCCCACTTAACCGAGCCCAATACCCAGCCCACACATCTTAGTCGCTCTTGAACCGTTGAATTGACCCGCTGATCAACGGTTGATGATATTACCTATAAATAATATCCTTGGCTCCTGTTTGGCACTTGTATCGTCATTTTTGTTCTCTGTTTTTTTCTCTGCCTTCTGGAACCTTCGTGTTCTTCGTCTCTGTGACTCTTCCTTCTTCTCTTTGTGAGATTTCTGGTTGATTATCTTTGTGATAATTGTGTTCTTGTGTGATTCTCCTTTGTGTGAGTAATCGTTTGAAGGTAGGCAGTCCTTGTTTTGGTTTCTAGTGAAGCGACCTTGATGTGTTGGGTTGTGAGGGCTTGTGTTTGAGTCTCGGTGCCTTTGTGATGGTGAAAGGGGCGTGGTCTGAGCCTACAATTGAAAGATCTAAACCTTGATGTTGTGGTTTAGGATTGATGTTGTAATCTGCAGTTTCATGTTATCTTGAATGGTTTTTGGATCCTGTTTTTAATAGTGGTATCAGAGCTATTTGCGTTCGTTCTTGAGTCTTCGATTGAAGGTTGAACACTAGAGAATTAATTTCCAGGTGTTCGACCGTAGATCGCGAAACCCTAGTTTTGATTTTGTGTCGACCTAGTGGTCTGTGGTTTTGATTTGAATCTGGACTGTGGAATGCGAGGGATTTTTTGTGAATCCTCGATGTGATCTGTAAAAGAACCATAAGATCGAGATCCTGTGGGTTCGTTTTCTGCTGGAACCCTAATTGTTTGGAGCTGCCAGGCCTTGAAACTGGAGGAACCTGAATCTGTAAGGGCACGTTTTGTGCCTTGGTGACCTGCAGTGAATTCATCCTTGCTGCAATAATTTGTTCCTGATTTCAGCTAGTGGTTAAATTGTTTAACCACCCTCGGTTTGCACTTCTTGAACCCTATATGACTGCACACTCACTAAACACTGCTTTTATGTTTATATGCCTCTATGTTGATATGTTCAATTACTGTATATTGTAACCTGTTACATTAGTTTGTGATATCCTGTTATATTTGCCTGTGATCAATTAAGTTTTGGTGATTCAAATTGAGCCTTGACCTGAGAACTTGATTGTCACGAAATCTTGGTGAATTTGATCAACCCTAGGTCCTGCAGATATTGATTCTTTAATCCTGAGATATAGTTTTTTTGCTTGCATTGTTGTATTTTTCTGATTCTTGTGGTGTTTACATTAGAATATCTAATGATCCTGCTATTGATTAAAACTATTTGTGAATAAAATAATCGTGGCTCATTTATTTGATTGCATATTACTTTATGTGATCTAAAACATAAATTTTTTGCGAAGGTCAAATTCAACAATTTTTCAAAAGTTGATCTTCTGTTCTGTTATAATTTGTGAAAAATACTGTGTGTTAGTTTTTCACAATAAAACATGACAAAATTTTTTGAACTTGGTGTTTTTGTGGAAAAGGGGATTTTCCTATTTGGCAACAAAAAATGCGAGGTGTTTTAGTTCAGCAAAAAGTTTCTAAAGCAATAACAGATGAATTTCCTGATACCATGACAGATGATCAAAAGGAAGAATCTGATGAACTTGCTTATACCTCCATTATTTTGCATTTATCTGATCAAGCTTTAAGAAAAGTAGGCAAACATGATACTGCTAAGGCGTTATGGGATGAATTAGAGAAACTTTACCTACCTAAGTCTTTGCCTAATAAGTTGTTTCTATTAGAGAAATTTTTTAGTTTTAGGATAGATCCAACTAGAGACTTAGAAGACAGCTTAGACATTTTTAATAAGTTAGTTCAAGACATTATTAATACAGGTGAGAAAGTTTCTGATGAGTATAAGACTGTAGTACTACTTAATGCTATACCTGAAGCCTACAAAGAGGTTAAAGATGCCATTAAGTATGGTAGAGATACTCTTACACCTGATATTGTCATAGACTCTTTAAGGAGTAAGGAACTTGAACTTAGGTCTGAGAGAGGTAATAGTGGCCATGAGAACTTGTTTGCTAGAGGAAGGACTTTAAGTAGGTCTAGTGGTACTCAGGAAAGCCATAATAATCAGGGAAATAACAGTAGGAGAAAGTTTAAAAGTAGATGCAGGTCTAAGTCAAGGACTAGGACTAAAAAGTGTTATGGGTGTGGGAAATCTGGACATTTTATTAAAGACTGTTATAAAAAGAAAAATGAACAGAAA